GGTCCAGCAGGAGAAGGCCTCAATCCAGTAAGAGGCTGGACCAACCCCTCCTCCCTCTTTCATTGAGCGAGAATTATTCCCACCTTCATTTTCTGTTTTCTCGCTTATATATCTATTATAAAATATGTGTATTTGCTGACTTAGGGTCTAGTTTTTTGTCTTTTTGATTTCAAAACCTTGTCCAATTTACTACCGACTGTTGTTTTCTCTTTATGGTTGTTTTCCTTCTACGACTATATTTGACGGCGAGAAGGTGGTCTGACTGTAACTTGTTCGAGGTGATGACCATCTCTAAGGGTCCGAGTTGTGCTTCGACTGTAGCTTGATCACGCGGGGATATTTATCCTTCCCATTTTTCTTCTGAACTCATCCTTGCTGCCGCTGACCCCTTCCAACCATCCAAGTTTTGCTGCAAAACTCTCTAACCCCTTTCAGACTTCTGTTGTAATTCCTTCCAGGCCTTCCACACCTAGTTGTAGCCTTCTCGAACTCTTCCAGTCGCTGAATCAGCCCGACGCGACCCCCTTTAATAGTTTTCGCAACCCACTCCACCAACCCCAGCCGCTGCGATAGCCCCCTCTACTAGATCCAACAACTGTCGATACCTTTCTAGCCCACCCTACCACTGCTGCCTTTCCCAAATATGTCATCTACATGCTGTCCAACCACCGCCCACCTCCTTTCTAATTGTCCTAAGGTGTATTTTTATGTTTGTTATCTTTTATTTCCTATATTAAAGAGTGTTTGTGACCCGTTTGACTTCCAACAATAATATTTTAATTTTTTATCGTGGTTTGGGTTTACACCAATATCATTTGGTTTGCATTGGTCTAACTCTAGTTCTATCATAAGGTTTCCTAACATACACCCTACCCCTTTACCAGAAAATTTATTTCGTATTCCCAAATCATAGCCAGACTTTGACCTAACTTTAATTTCAAAACTTGCTGACTTGCTGATTTCAAAATCAGCTACTCTAAATCAAATTTTTACACCCTCTTTCATTAAGAATCTCAAGCCCAAAGCTTGTCACAAAGGAGATATATTTCGGACCCTATTTTGGATGAGATACACGGTAGGTTCGTCACCTTCAGCAGAGGTTGGCTGAGATGGATGAGGGGACACAGAGGGAGGTTACCGTCAACCAAGATTTGGTGATTCAAAAGGGAGAAATGGACAAAAATCTTAATCTGTTCCACAAGGAAGACGTAGTGATGAGGAATACCGATCCCGGTGCTTTAGAATTTAGTATCAGAGAAGGCAGAGAGAGAGAGAGGAGACCACTTATGTTGGACACAGATTTCAACATTAAAGTGAACCTGCCGAAGTTCGATGGAGATATGAATCTAGACGACTTTCTCGATCGGTTGCAATCTGTCGAGCGAACTTTCGAGCAAAAGGACGTATCAAAGGATGAACGGGGAAAACTTGCAACCATTATGTTGAAGAAGAGCGCCTTCATGTGTTGGGAAATCCTACAGAGGCAGAGAAAAAGAGAGTAGTGACATGATCACCAAGTAGGAGAAAATAAGGAAGGAGATGCAAAGAGGAAATACTTGCTATCCCATTTCCGTCAGGATATGCTTATGAGGCTCCATCACTGAGAACAAGATATATTAGTAGAGGAGTTCATAGCCCAATTTAACCAATTGCAGATGAAGTGTGAGCTGATTGAGCTAGAAGAGCATAAGATAACCCATTATTGGTGAGGCTTGAAACCCGCTATCAGCAACGTGGTATAATTGCAACTCTATTGTTTACTTGAAGACGTTCAAAACTTAGTGTTGAAAGTGGAAGAATAGCAGAATCAGAGTAGACAACCCTCACGATAAGTTCAAAAAATTGGTCCAGACAAGGACAGATCCCGAGTGAGAAAGCAACCCTAGAAGAGTAGCACACATACTACAGTTCTCACCAGAAAATGCTTTAGATGCCATGGATTTGGGCATATCGTCTCAGTTGTCTGACAAGTCTAGTTGTGTCTTTTATTGAGCAAGACACAGTGAAGGAGGTTAGCGATGAGGAGATAACTGAGGAATAGAGTGAGGTTTATTATCTTCCACAAGGAGAGGTGATCGTGGTGTGACATGTCCTACAGACCGAGGATACGAGGGATTCATAGTGACTTCATCACAATATATCCTACACCCGTTGCACTGTGAACGAGAATGTATGCAGTCTCATCACTAATGGAGGGAGCGGTAAGAACGTGGCCTCTATCGAAGATGGTGGAGAAGTTGGGTCTCATGACTCATAGGTACTCCCATCCCATCCATATTTTTGATGTGGCTGAAGAAAGAGAATAAGGTCAACATGATCGAAGGTGCCACTATTAGAGTTCTCGATTGACAGGTAGTTGTAGGATCAAGTGTAGTGTGACGTGGTATTCATGAATGCTTGCCACCTGATGTTGGGGAGAGTATGACAGTTTAATCGTAGAACTCAACACGACGGATTTAGAAACACTACTTCACCAAGGATGGGAAGCACATCATCCTTCTCCCTGAGATCATAGGTGCCCTTGCCAGCAGAACATCATCTGTTGGACCAATTTTGGTGACGTCAGAGGATGATAAGACGGAGACACTAGTTCCTGACACGAGACAGGCATGAAAAAGCATTTCAGGATATCACAGTCGATACCTTGTGCCAGCTCCACTAACGTTCAGGAGGTTCAGAGTACCCTCACTACTGATTAGGTTGAGCTGACCATGGATTAATTTGGGAGCATTCAACAACATAGAAGAGACATGCAAACTTAGTTCAGTTCAGTCCAGTAGTGGACGCCTATGAGATCAGATCGATAGGGATGTATCCTCGCAAGTGGGGGAAATCCTTGGGTGTTTTGGGAGGCAGTATAGCCGACAGTAGGCTCCGGGTGCTGTTAGGATTGAAGATGAAAAACTAAAAACTTCGATGAATGAAATCGAAGCTCTCTCAATCCCGGGAGATTGACGTGGGGGACTTAGGGGAGGCCTGGCTTGACTGAACTGGCCACTAGGTTCAACAGGAGAAGGCTCTCGGTCCAGGAGGCTGGATCGGTCCGCTCCAACCTCTTTCATTAGGAGGGAATTAACCCCCCTTCCTTTTCTATTTTTCAACTATATATTTATTATAAGTATGTGTGTTTGTTCTCTTAGGGTTTAGTTTTTTGTCTTTATAATTTTAAAATTTTTTTCAACTTGTAATCGGTGGTTGTTTTCCCTCTAAGGCTTTAGCTGAATGCGAGAATGTGCTCCGATTATAACTCGTTGGAAGTGGTGACCGTCTCGGAGGGTTCGAGTGGTGCTCTTATTGTAGCTCAATGACACAATGATATTTATCCTTCGCAACTCTCCTTTAAACTCACTCCTACTGTCACCGAAGCACTCCTGGCCTTCCAGGTCTTGCTGCTAACCCCTCTTCCTCCTTCCAGACTTTGCTGTAATGCCTCCCAGGCCTTTTACACCCAGCCGCAACCTTTTTTTTTATACAAAATGCTCAAGTCCTTTTAGGTTTACCTCTACCTTTCTTAACCTAAGTCAAATTTCAAACATCTATTTTCCTAACAGAGTCATTAGATGGTCGACGTTTAACCTTACCAAACAATCTATGATGACTCTGTAATCCTGTCAATCACTGGAGCTACTACAATTCTTTCACGGACATATTTGTAATCCTTGCTTATTTAACACTACATCCTGGTGCTTGTGCAACGGCTCTTGCATATTTTTTGTTGTATTCAGGCAATACATCACATCGCTTCTAGGGAATGCCCTATCATTTATGTTATGATTTAAAAAATTATTATAATCTTTTGACAATTTTTACGCTGATTGTTGACTAACTAATACAACTCTTCACTTTTCGCATTTAGAATATAGGACCCAACAATGGCAGTGCTAGCTTCCATGATTCTAGTGAAAGTAATTAAGCAATTCTAGATGTTCTCCAGATTGTAAATCAAGTCATTCTTACCGTTCTATATTTTGAAATGTTTCTTGAATAGAACTTATCTACACTGTATTTGCGGGACCTCAGTATCCAGACACAGAATTGTTCTTATCCAAATTGTTTAATAAGCATTGACGAGACGTTTGAACTTCAGATTAGATTGTACTTTTTAGCATTTGGTCCTATTTTGGCCGACTTTTTTTTTCCGTTGTTCGACTATTTAGACTATCTGTGCATCTGAGTGTTGTTTATTTTGTTAAAGGGTTTTGAGGGTGCCCCAAATGTTTATATTTGAATGTCCGCTCTTTGTATTTGCGTACTTCTATTTTAGAACACCTGCATCATCTCTTGGCAATTGATATCCTTTCCATAGATCTGCACGTAAATTGGTGCCAAATGAACAACCTACTCAAATAAGCCAGTTAGAAATAAGCTATTTCTCCCAGTTTGATGAAGCACTTGTTTTGAAGAGAAATTTCTTATTTCTTGTTGAACCTCGTATTTTTAGTATTAGGAGTTTAAAGAGTTGGTCACGTGATAGGAGTTGGATATTAATTTCATTGCCTTAAAGCATTGTTACTAATGTCACAAAAAAAAATCAATTAATCAAGCACAAATTTCAATGCATTTTAGATAAAATAAATTCCATATTCAAATTCATGATCATGCAAGCTCCATTTCTAAGATGTTATAATCAAACGATATTGAAATTAGTTGAATCTTCCAAATGAGCCCAAATGAAGAACTTGAAGTATAATTAGAAGCTTCAAAGTATTAGTTGAAGATTTGAATTATCTCCAAATCCATCATGCTTAAAGTCAAATCAAATATCACAATAAGCCTAAGCTCCTTTAATTCCAAGATTATTAAGATACTTAATTGATGGAGTGATCCATATGACTAAAGGAATCAACATAGATTGTCTGATGGAATAGTTTGAAATAAATAATGCCCCATGCTCCACATGAAGCAGGCCACTAAAGTGGGGTGAGAGCTTGGAGATTTGAAGAATTATAGAGTTCTGCCCAATGTCTAACATCAACTAGCAGCTGCGGGACCACAGTCACTTGGTTGCCATTGTTATTGTCGTATCACCATTGCTCGGTTGCCACCGCCGCTAATGGACAACCGTCACAAAGCCATCATCATTGTTGGATCATCGTTACTTGACCACTATTACAAGTTCATACCACTGTCACCCGCTTGTCATCATCATTTTCTTCGGTTCATCTTTATCTTTCCATGACTCTTCGTCATTTACATAAAAAGTCAAATTAGCATCTCACACTTTTGTGAGATTGTATTATTAATTCCAAGGATGAACAAAGTTCTTATAACTCTCATCTATACAGTGAAATTATTCCAACTAGGCTAGACACTGGTTTTTCTCTTGAATTTTCCACATAAAGATTTGGGTGACTTGTATATATTTTTTTAATCCGTCCGTGTGTGAAATCTTTGTACATTGCTAAGACTAAGGGGTTGTCTGGTAAAAGATGACATTTAAGTTATTAGGTAAATTTAGTAAATCCGGATTTATTAAAATCCTGCATAGTTTAAATCCGAAAAAATGTTTGGTAACGGGTTTACTAAATGCTGTAATTCCAACATAACTGTTTGGCAAGTAGAACAAATCAAATAACTCTTCCTCCAAATCCCGTTAATCTCGTAAATCCACCGATTTAGTCCGTTGCCAGACAACCCCTAAATTCCCAAACTGTTTTGTAACCGATTTAGTCTGTGGCTTTACTTTGTTCAAAATGACCGTCTGGCAAAATTTAGTCTACATCCAGGTCAAATCCTGCTCTAAATCCGTTGCCAGACAACCCCTAAACTCCTATAGTCTACTGCCGCAAATTTTCCAACACAACAGTTACATTAGTTGCCACTTGAGCAGCTGTTAGCCAACTTGTTTGTCGGGAAGTTTGCCTTTTTCTTCTCTTAATTTATGCATGCAAGTGTAGAAATTATTTCATGAATATTTTTGAATTTCAATTGATCATAGTGTAAAATCTTGAAGCTGTTTTAATCTTGATGATTACTTGCTGTTTATTTATGCTAGACGTGGCTCACATTCTAGATTTGAAACTAAGAATTATGTGTGTAAAACCAGTCTTTCAAAAGTGGTTTCTGGATTTAATAACAAACACAACCGCACCTTTCAGGTTAGAGGTTATGCAAAGGCTTGCTCTTATCACACCCATGGAGCTAGGTGGGAAGGCCCATCAAGCCCAAGATGCAGAAAATAAAATTGACCAGTGGCTCATGTATGCAATGTTTGCTTGCTCCTGTCCTCCAGATAATAGAGTAGATGTTGGCTTATCAACAGCCAAAGAACTTTTTCATCTTATCTTTCCATCTTTAAGGCATGGGTCTGATGTGAATGCTGTAAGTTCACAATTTTATCAATTATCTCTTTATTTCATAGATATTGCTAATAGCTTGTCCCTACTACATGCGGTAACACGAAGACTAAATTGTCACTGGAAATTATAGAATGAAAAATCAAGAAAAATGTAATTAGCTTTAGATCAGCTTAAAGAAAAAACATTAATAGTTTGTATACAATATACAGATATTTGATGTATGGAGAAGCTGCTTAAAATGATCAAACATCTGCTCTGTAATTTTACTCGAATGCTTAATTTTCATAACATTTATCTGTGTTATTGTATTTTGTTTACCATTTGAACAAACAAGCTCAATGTACTTCTCTCTGCACACTGTTTTGGGGAGAAACCGAAATTGAGAGGCAGTGTTAGATTTTATTTCTGCCTGTTATAAGCTTCTGCTTGATTAATGGGAAAACTTCTGCGTAGAGAAGTTCATTATGATCAAGTAGAGGCACTTTTTTTTAAACATCATGAGCATGTTAGTTATGTTTCTAACCTTCACATTGAATAGATATCTTGATTAAAAAATTTTTTTGCAGTCATTTATTCTGTATTTGAAAGACAAAATATAGGGAAGACTATCTTTACAAGGAACATGAAATTATCTTGCTGAACACCTTAAATTGAACTCCTAAATTCTCTCCATTTAGGAGAATTTGCTGAACACCTTAAATTGAACTCCTAAATTCTCTCCATTTATCTTCTCTTCTGCACCGATTTGGTTCTAATTTCTTAAGAGTTCAAAGCATTTGCAATGTATTTGAGCCTCAATTCATCATTTAACCATACAAAGTACTAGATATTTTTTATGATTTCTTTGTGTGTTGCCTTCTTAGTCCATGTCAAGTAATTATTTCAAATATCGGACAATAACTCCCTTCATTTACTCCATTCTGAAGTATTGAAGAAGGCACATGGGAAAATTTTCACTGTCAGCTAACGGATAACAACTTACTTTTCTTGTAACTAATATATATATATATATATATATATATATATATTTGTGTAGCTTGCAGCCACCAATGCTTTGGGTCATTGTCATCTTGAATTATGTGAATTCATGTTTGGAGAGCTTGCATCTTTCGTTGAAGAGGTTTGGCAAGAGTCAGAGGGGAAACAGAAATGGAAGGTATAATCTCAGAATGAACAATTCAATAGTCTTAATTTTAAAAAATTAATTGGGCTAATAATTTTTTTTAAAGTTGTGTTTTAAAGAATAAATTTATTGCAATTCATTGGTCCCCTCCACATTTTGACAGAAGCGTGATTGCAATTGGCACTCCATAGACAATCATAGTTGTTAAATATTAATTCCTTTAACATACATTTCTTGCAATAGCTCTTTATTATGCCAATCAAATATACCAGGTTGATATGGAAACTTTAAAATTGTACAAATTGTTCAAAACACGCTGCTTAGATATCAACAAAATTTCAAATACATTTGGTATTGGTTAGGCATAGTTTAATCTGGATTTCCCTCTCATTGCAGAATCAAAAATTTCGCCGTGAAGAACTCCGTATGCATATTGCGAATGTTCATCGTACTATTGCAGAGAAAATTTGGCCGGGAATGTTACGCCGCAAACCAGTTCTCCATTTACACTTTTTGAAGTTCATTGACGAAACATATCGCCAGTTGTTAACGTCGGCTTCTGAAAGTTTTCCAGATTCACAACCTCTTCGGTATGCATTGGCTTCTGTCATCAGATATCTAGCTCCAGAGATTGTGGACTCTAAGTCAGAGAGGTTTGATGTGAGAACACGAAAGAAGATTTTTGACTTGCTAATGACTTGGTGCGATGAATCTGGAAGCATGTGGGGCCAAGAAGGCAGTAGTGATTACCGTCGAGAAGTAGAGCGGTACAAGTCAGGACAACATGGTCGATCCAGGGATTCTATAGACAAGCTCACATTTGATAAGGAGGTGATCGAACAGGTAGAAGCAGTTCAATGGGTTTCCATGAATGCTATTGCCTCACTTCTATACGGACCTTGCTTTGATGATAATGCTAGAAAGCTAACTGGAAGAGTGATATCTTGGATCAATAATTTGTTTGTTGATTCAGCACCAAGAGTGCCTTTTGGATATTCGCCTGTAGATCCACGTACGCCGTCATATTCTAAGTACACGGCAGATGGAGGGCGGGCAGCAGGGGTTCGAGACAAACATAAAGGAGCTCATCTCCGTGTTCCTTTGGCGAAGACTGCTTTAAAAAATCTTATTCAAACAAATTTAGACCTTTTTCCAGTCTGCATTGATCAGGTATTTTCTCCCCTTTTCATGTGTTGTATTTATGTATAATCAACTTGCTTGGATTTATAGTGGGCAAGCATAGGTGGTTGTCGGGTAACGGATTTAACTGGGATTTAACTTATGTTTTGCAAGGCACCAAAAACGACTCTTTTAATTATTGGATTTCATAAATCCGGTTTCTTCTGTTTTCTTCTCAGTTTTGCCTTAAATCCTGGATTTACTAAATCCTGCAGTTGATGAGAGATAATAAATCTGGGTTTACATGGTTTACTAAAGCAGTTGTTACAGACAGCCCCCAGGGGCAAAAAACATTAGGTTCCCTTAACTTTGATTCGCCGGTTCAAATCATTAAAAATGACATTCTGTGATGTGAGGGTAAATGACATTCTGTGATGTGAGGGTAGGTGGCATTGATTTATCCTTCTCCAGACTAGCATTGCCAGATCCTTGTGCACGCTATGGGATTAGCGGATTTGAATGCAGGTTAAAATTTAGGTGCATGTTGCTTGAAACTTATGAAAATTCTTCCTTGGTGGAAATAATTGGGCTTTGGTTTTGTGCATCATTTTAATATTTGTATTATTCCTTGGCCTGTGCCATCTTAGGAAATGATACACCATCAAAGCAGAAGAAAACGAGGAAAAATCTGTGTATTTTAAACAGATGGAAATTTGTATACAAAATTTGAAATCTTCCCATTTGGGTCAACATCATTGGAATATATAATCAGGGGCCCTTTAATTTGCGAAGTGCTTTGCTTAAGCTTTCATGATGGAACTCTATCTATATAAATAGATGTCATCTCATGCAAGTTCCTCAAGATTTTCCATGGTTCCTTTCACCATCAAAGGCTAGTTTGGAATCTTACAAGATATCCATATGGCATGGACCCTTGACTTAGCTTATGCTTTTATCATGGTTGAGGACGTGTTATTCATTGTGCAAATACCTTTCTATACATTAGTCACGATCTTGAGCCTTTTTATAAGTACAGAACTGTCGTTAAGTTATATGAAGACGATGAATAGTTACAAAGCATCACTCGTGCAAGTTCCTCCCTTCTGTGAAATGCTAGTTTGGATAATTTGTCATTTCCCTCTTCTTTTAAACCTGCAACATCAAAAAGGAGAGAGATCATGTTTGTTAGAAAGTTTACCCCATATACATTATGCTAATCGTAGTAATCATTATCATAATTTTGGTATTGGATAATAGTCAAAGGAGATAATAAAAATTGCCTTAGGTTTTGTAATATTTGGCAGCGGTAATGTTTTTTTCCCTCTTTTTCTATTGGTGAAGTATTGGAATCCTAAACCTTCCCTTTGGAGATAAAGCGCAACACCATTAGGTTGATTTTTTTGTTTTTTTTACTTTTTTAATTTTGTTCAACAACATTCTATCTAAAAGAAATCTTTCTAACAGAATTATTTCTCTTATTCTAGTGCTACTCTCCTGAGCCTCACTTGTCAGATGGTTACTTCAGTGTCCTGGCAGAAGTGTACATGAGACTAGAGATTCCAAAGTGCGAGGTACAGAGGCTTCTCAGCTTAATTCTCTATAAGGTGGTTGATCCATCCAGGCAAATTCGCGACGACGCCCTTCAAATGTTGGAAACACTCTCTGTTCGTGAGTGGGCTGAAGATGATACTGAGAGCGCCAGTCGTTATCGAGTCTCCGTTGTTGGCAACCTCCCTGACTCATACCAACAGTTTCAATACAAATTGTCTGCTAAACTCGCTAAAGACCATCCAGAGCTGAGCGAGCTGCTCTGCGAGGAAATCATGCAGCGCCAACTCGATGCTGTCGACATTATCGCGCAGCATCAAGTTCTCACTTGTATGGCTCCATGGATTGAGAACTTGAATTTCTCGAAACTATGGGAGTCTGGTTGGAGCGAGAGATTGCTTAAAAGTCTCTATTATGTCACTTGGAAACATGGGGATCAGTTTCCTGATGAGATAGAGAAATTATGGAGCACCGTCGCAAGCAACACCCGGAATATCATACCAGTTTTGGACTTCTTGGTCACCAAAGGAATTGAAGATTGCGATTCAAATCCATCGGCAGAAATTAGTTGGGCTTTCGCCACATATTTCTCGGTCGCTAAACGCGTGAGTCTATATCTGGCACGAATCTGCCCACAACAAACCATCGATCACTTGGTATGCGAGTTATCTCAGAGGATGTTGGAGGATAGTGAGGATCCTGTTAGACCAGGAAAGGTCGACCCTACTGCAAACATCGTTCTGGAGTTCTCTCAAGGACCGATGATGACACAGCTCACAGCCGTTGTAGATAGCCAACCTCACATGTCGCCTCTGCTTGTTAGAGGATCACTCGATGGTCCTCTAAAAAACGCGAGCGGAAACTTGAGCTGGAGGACTTCAACTGTTACCGGTCGAAGCATTTCTGGTCCGTTAAGCCCAATGCCTCCTGAGGTTAACATTGTTGCTGCTGCTGCTGGCCGCTCGGGGCAATTGCTGCCATCATTGATGAATATGTCGGGGCCTTTGATGGCCGTCCGAGGCTCAACTGGTAATCTGAGAAGCCGTCATGTGTCAAGGGACAGTGGAGATATCTTTATCGATACCCCCAACTCTGTCGAAGACATCTTGCACCAAGCAACTGGTGGGTTGCACGGCATCAATGCAAACGAACTTCAATCAGCCCTGCAGGGACATCAACACTTATTATCACGTGCGGATATAGCATTAATCCTACTTGCCGAAATTGCTTATGAAAACGATGAAGATTTTCGCGAGAACTTGCCCTTACTTTTTCATGTTACTTGTGTTTCCATGGATAGTTCAGAGGATATTGTGCTTGAACATTGTAAAAATTTGCTTGTTAATCTGCTCTATTCGCTGGCCGGGAGGCATTTGGAACTATATGGAACCACAAACAGTGAAGGCGAAAATAAACATAAAGTAGAGAGCCTTATAAAGTATATTCAGTCTAAGCGTGGGTGTTTAATGTGGGAGAATGAGGATTCGACTCTTGTTCATATAGAACTTCCCAGTGCTGCACTGCTATCTGCATTAGCACTAGATATGGTTGATGCTATATTTTTCCAGGGAGACCTTCGCGAGACTTGGGGTGCGGAGGCCCTCAAATGGGCAGTGGAGTGTACTTCCAGGCATCTCGCTTGTCGTTCTCACCAAATATATCGTGCGCTTAAGCCGAGCGTGAAGAGTGATAACTGCGTAGTGCTGCTCCGATGCCTTCACCGATGCTTGGGAAATCCTGTACCAGCTGTTCTTGGCTTTGCCATGGAGATTCTTCTAACATTACAGGTGATGGTTGAGAATATGGAGCCTGAGAAGGTGATCCTATATCCACAGCTTTTCTGGGGGTGTGTTGCTATGATGCATACAGATTTCATTCACATCTACTGTCAGGTGCTTGAACTGTTTTGCCGTGTGATTAACCGTCTGTCACTACACGATCGAACGACCGAGAATGTGTTACTATCGAGTATGCCACGGGATGAGTTCGACACCAATAGTCCTGATGGTCCCGAGCTTCCAAGGGAAGAATCGCGTACTGGTCCGGAATTATTGCCATCCGGTGGAAAGGTTCCGGCATTCGAAGGGGTGCAACCCTTGGTCCTTAAAGGACTTATGTCCACCATCAGCCATGGATCTGCAGTCGAAGTGCTCTCACAAATAACCATCCCTACCTGTGATTCAATATTTGGTAACCCCGAGACACGTCTATTAATGCACATCATAGGTTTGTTGCCTTGGTTAGGCCTACAACTAAACAAGGACTTGGCTCTTGTTGGATCTGCATCACCCCTCCAACAGCAGTACCTGAAATCCTACCTGGTTGCCTCAAACATCTCATACTGGTGTCACAAGAAATCTCTCCATCAACTCGCTGAGGTGTTCTCGGCTTACTCGCTAGGGGAGTTAACGTCGGTTGAAGATCTATTTACTCGTGCATCGCTGGCCATTTGTGCCGAATGGTTTCCGAAGCACTCGTCGTTAGCATTTGGACATCTGTTGAGGCTTCTCGAGCGAGGGCCAGTCGACTATCAGCGCGTGATACTCATATTACTCAAAGCTCTCCTCCATCAAACTCCAGTAGATGCGGCTCAGAGCCCTCATGTTTACGGCATTGTTTCACAACTGGTGGAAAGTAGCTTGTCCTGTGAGGCATTGAGTGTGCTGGAGGCACTTCTGCAAAGTTGCAGCACCTTAGCAGGGGATCATAAAGACGAATTTGGTTCGGCAGAGAATGGTTATGGATTGACCGAAAAATCTTTGCAGAGCATACTCGCGCCGCAAAGCTCCTTTAAGGCTCGGAGCGGGCAGCTGCAGTTTGTAGCAGGGTCTGGGATTGGGGTGGTATCTGCAGCTCATGGTGGAGGTGATAACGTGCAGTCTCAGAGGGAGATATCCCTTCAAAACACTCGTATGATACTCGGTCGTGTTCTTGATAGTTGCGCTCTCGGTCGAAAGAGGGACTATAAACGACTTGTGCCGTTCGTTGCCAACATTGGAAACTCTTGATTGCATGGATTTGAAGTTTGAAGCTTGTTTTGGCCCCCCTATTTCTTGTTTGAATCAGCTTTCTGGCAAAATGCAACCTGAACTGTGATGCTGATTTGCAGAAGGTGATAACAGAGTTGTTTGGGGATATGTTTATAGTTGTATATGTTGAGAATTTTCTTTTCAATTTCTCCAATAAAAATTAATTGCTTGCGTCCTATTTTGTAATTGTGTATATATATATATATATATATATATATATATATTATGTGCATACAATAATCATTTATTCAAACAAAATTAAACAATATCATGTAACATTTTAACTCTTTCATCCAATTTTTAAATTCACTCAAAATATCAAATTTTCATTTTTATCAAATTCTTAATAATTTGATCGTCACTCTTTCATCCAATTTTCAAATTCACTCAAAATATTATCAAATTCTTAATAATTTGATCGTGCACACGTAAATATATTCGTTCGATAGTTAAAATTCACATGCATGGTTGATTTCATATGGAGGGTATCATTTTACACTTCGTTGCCAAGCGGTTGGATCCGCCCTTGATTAATTTGTAAATATCAAAACAGTCTGCATGTAATTATCTCTCTTTTTTTAAGAATTGGATTTAGGGTTTACAGCTTTAAAGCAGATAAATATATATATATATTTTTTAAGAATTGGATTTAACCAAACAAGCAATCAATTAAATGTTCAGGTGCACATAGACCTTATACTTTAGGTTTTAGAAATTTAAATACATAGGAATTGGGTGGTACATATGTAAACCTCCCTTCTAAAAATGATATTTCTTTTCATATTTTTTTATTAATCAAGATCAATGGTGGGGGACGAAATGAAATGATTTAAAGCTTCTATTAATTTCGTTGGATCTAAGTCTAGTTACCTCCTCTTCATTTCCATCGTCATGCTAGTTAGGGGGGTTATAAATGAACTAAAGCCCCAATGAACAACTTGAAGTTGGCTCAGAATTCATTATGCTAAATAAATAAGCTTAAACAATTTTTAAAAGCTTTTAGTTTAAATGAATTAAACATGAACATGATCGAAATTATTCCTTTTTTTTTCACGAACAAATCGTTTGTTATTCAATAAATAATTTGTTAAATACTCAATATTAAGTTCTGCTCAAAAAAAATTTGCATCACATTTGATATTTAAATTAAATAAAATTTGTTCACGAACAAACCGTTTGTTATTCAATAAATGATTTGTTAAATACTCAATATTAAGTTCTGCTCGAAGAAAACTTGCATCACATTTGATATTTAAATTAAATAAAATTTATTTAACAATAATTATTTAATTATAGATTTAATAATAACATATTATTTTAATAATATTTTCCATTAATTATATTTATATATATATATATATTATTAAAGTTTGTGTTAGATGTGAAAATACATATGACCTATGCGGTATGTATGAATGAAATTTCTTAGAATTAACTTTAAACCGTTGCAAACCTCAATTTCCCTCTGGCTTCTCACAATTTGGCATCTCCAGGTATCGCTCGAGTAGCTAGGGCGTGCAAGCATCAAAGGTAGCGAAGAGATCGCGGTGTGCAAGGATCTCAGAAACTAGTCTCTTGCATATCTTCCCTTTCTACTCTTCTCATAAGTCTGACACAAAAAGTGTTGAGAAAGTGCTGAGTAGCTAGGGCGTGCAAGCATCGAAGGTAGCGAAGAGAACGCGGTGTGCAAGGATCTCAGAAACTAGTCTCTTGTATATCTCCCCTTTCTACTCATAAGTCTGACACAAAAAGTGTTGAGAAAGTGCAGTGCAATCTTCGTAATTTATATATAATTCTAAATAAGTATATGCAACAACTCAATATAAAATACATTTACAAATTTGTCCAAAAAATTTAGGAAAAGGACAAATACAGAGGTGTCAATCATTTAAATCAAGATTTTCAAAGTAAACAAAAAAATATTCAAGCTAAAATTCAATCAATTAAAACTTGAAGTCAATTTCATCCACCCTTTACAACAGTTTGTCGAGGGAGACAAATTTTTAATTAACTTCAGCTCACAAAGAGAATGTCATAATAAATGTATTTCTATATTCACAATCATCAATTTCATCCACCCTTTACAACAGTTTGTCGAGAGAGATAAATTTTTGATTAACTTCAGCTCACAAAGAAAATGTCATAATAAATGTATTTCTATATTCACAATCAAAGTAATTGCATGCCAGTAAGAAATCTCTATTTGCGTGATTTTGTTGCGAAATGACACAACAAAATAGCAGTTACTACTACAACCCTCTAATCGGGTGGCTGCCGCCAAATGGAACTATTATATTACGGTCATGGCAGCAACCTGTATGTTCCAAAACAACTTTATACTCTTTGAGTTGTAAATCATAAGTGTACAATTGTTTGGTAAAAAAACATCTATTAGCAAATGTCAACTTAAATTTATCCCTTTTGACAAACATCCACCCCAGATCTACAAAGAGACCTTGGACGACGCAACTCATGGCCGCTGACTAGAATCCTTATGTTAGGTTGGGTCGATTACCTCCTCTAACTAAGTAGATCAGGGACCAGGACGACCTGAGATAACAGAACCATGAGATATTGATCAGATTTTGGTTTCACTCCCCCCACCATCCGCTTTAAGCTTCAAGTGGTGAATTTGATTACCTCCTCTAACTAAGTAGATAAGGGACCAGGACGACCTGAGATAACGGAACCATGGGATATTGATCAGATTTTGGTTTCATTCCCCCACCATCCACTTTAAGCTTCAAGTGGTGAATTCTACGATTTAAATCCTAAATCTGTTGCTATTGTATGTTGAATACCCGCTAAATAAGAGCGAAATCTCTGGGTAGCGTCTTATCTACAATCCAATCTGCTTTCTAAAAATTTGATTCTCTAAAGCTTTCTCAACAAATCAAAATTTAAAAAAAATGCAAAGAGTTTCGCGAGAGCGGTTGCGAATTTTCGGAGCCCACAGAAACATTCACTACTTCAAATTCAACAAAAAATACTCACTTGCATTGTTATTGTCAATAGCACAGAAAAAATTCAAAAAAATGACAACTAGAAACACAATCCCTAATAAATCAAACATTTGAATCCTAGCAAGATAGTATGAAATTTTGAAAAATAAAAAATAAAACATTGCCAAATACTTTTCAGCGTAAATTGTAAATTTCTTTTTCATTCTTAATATAAATATCATACATGGAAAAAGGATGATTTGTATGAATGTTTTTGTTTTACTTTGTCGTGCCAAATGTATAAAACAACATGCATGCAGCCATATAGAGAAAAATAACATCAGAAATCAGTGAAAAGAAAAAGGAGGCTTATTTAAACTGGAATCTAATCTCTGAAATTCTCCAGCGCAACAACAGCTGCTTGAACTGAGCAGAAAACTGCTCCAAATAATCTCCAAAGCCAGCTAAAATTAAGAATTAGGTCTCATTCTTTTTCCAAATTTCTGCCAACCAACTTAAATCAACAAAGAAGCTTAGCCTTTTTCATTAATGTGAAAATTTTTTCAAAGGTTCTGATTTTACATTTTTGGGTGGTGGTAGGAGAAACATTATATTCTCAAGAAATGTCTTACATACATGTTTAATCAAATCATACGACTATCATCTTCTTCTTCATAATGATTAGCCTTAGCCAACTATTTGGGATAAGCTAATTATAAAATTTTAATCAAGTCGTACATGTGAAAATAACTAGCTAAAGATTTTCAGCATTCTGCTCGCTCAGAGAAAAATGCAACATGATAATCATCTCTACAAAAAAATGAAATCTTTAATCACATGAGATGATTATAAATGAACTTGTGAGGAAAAAGGAAATCACATACCATTGCTCTTATGGATGCTAGCCTTCACAATGATGCAAACTCCAGAGATTACCGGAACTCGCTGTACTTGTCCAGGAACTTTCGCCGGAAAATATAAATACTCAAAGTCATCTGGAAAGAACTGCAACTGACAGACTCAAAGCAGTGAATGCGAGGTAAAGCCCTATGAGGGAATAACCCCAGAACCTTGGGACCCTAAACCTGAACCAGATCACAACTAAAAGGGAGCTCAAGAGGCTCAGTAGAAGAAAAACAAAAGCAATCACAATGCTAATATGGAACTGGAGCTTATAAGCCTCTGGGTACAGATTTCCAGTCTCCATCACAAGAGCCGAGCCGAGCCCCACAAGCATGTTGAACATGGGACCAGCGAAGCACCCGGCAACGGCAGTCGCCGGTTGCCCAGCCCTTGCTAGTGCTACATCGGCAACAAGATCCCCAACGGAATTCCCCCACGCCAGCACAGTCAAGCCTAGGATTCCAGGTGGAAGGTTCATGATGGTACCTATGGCTGATAAGCAGTTCAACAGTTCTCCTGCCATTGTTGAGATCCAGACCACACTCATCACAAATGCAGCAACTGTGGTTGCTATCCGTTCGGTTTCTGGAGGTTCATTCTCAAAAATGAAGTGGAGAATTGCAAGGAAGAAGCTGATGAAGAGAACGATAGACCAGAGAGGGAAACGAGAGTGAGGAATGATGAACACGAGGCGACTGTCCATGGTGATGAAGGAGCTAAAATAATAGAGGAGAGAGATGGGGCACAAGGCTACATTGGCAGCGGCGTGAAATCTGCTCCACTCTGCTGCTGATGGTGATGGTATGGTAAGCTTTAAAAGAGTTGTGGCAGGAACTTCCCACAGTCGAGCGACCTAGTGGAAAGTCAAGAAAATTAGAAGCACCTCTGAAGCAAGTTCAATTGAGATGAATGTTTAAAAGTTCGATGCCATTTATATGATATACCATTCAATGTGAAGAAAAACATAAACTGAAATGGCACTTAAGCGGCAAAGTAAGAAAACAGGAGAGCACAGGCAGGTAACTTGACAAGGTTAAGATATATGGTAATAAATAATGATACCTCAATTGATGCTAGAACCGTCAAGGTGATAATTAGAATGCCAAAATCATGATTCCATAATTTCTTATGAAATAAACAGTGCATTACTTTTGGATTTGAATCATCACAAGAAAATTAGGAAGACTAGGTTTCTAAAAAAACCTTTAATCTAAGGGCCCATTTGGGATCATTTTTGTTTTCTATTTTCAATTTTTTTGTTTCTATTTTGTTTTAATTTGAAACAAAACATGTTTGACATATTTAATTAAGACACGATTGAAACATCAAAAAGTTGTTTGTAGTGTTTTAAAAAACATGTTAATTTACTTCTTAGAAATAAAATATAAAAATAGAAAAAAACACACTAAACAAATATGTGCTTAAAAACAAAAGTGAAATTGATCCCAAAAAAGCATTAAGGTTTTCTTCCTAAATTAGTTGAAGTCTCTCTTTGACATTTTATTGTTGGAAGAGGAACTATTAATTTTATTTTTGTTGGACAAGAATTGATTCATTCAACTATCAAGCCAAAATAATAATAATAATAATAATAAATCATCTTTAAAGTTTTTTAAAAGGCCTAAGATATATGTAGGTGGGCCTACTTTCATAATACTCTTTTCCTCCCCTCCTAGTTTTGTTCTGGATCATGAATTATATCTTCCATACAACTTCTAATATCATTGCTGATGGAAATCTTAGGAAGCAATTTAGACAGTCTTAGGCAAGGGGATCCCCGCTTTCCTCTTCTTTTTATTATTAAGTTGATGTTCTACATAAAAGATTAAATGTTGCTTTGTTGATCATGTGATTGGGGTTTGATATTTGAAAATGTGGAACCTCTTATTGATAGTCTGCAATTCACAGATCACACTTCGAAATTTTTGCAATGCTTTCCTAATCAAACAAATGTTCTTAATAATATTTTGATAATATTTGAGGTTCCTACCATGGCTACCCTTCTAAAGCTAACAAAAATTGATTAAAATCAACAGAATCCTAAAGGAGAAGCGCTTTCTTTTCAGTTCTCTAGAGCTTTTCTTAGCTTCTGCTTAGTTGTAACCATTTTGTACCATTCTCATCTCGTTTTTTCACTTCATCGCAACTGTTTATACAGTCTTACCTTCATGTTAATGAGAAGGATACACCGTGCTTTTAGGAAGAAACTCGTGAACACATTTGAAATAGAATGACAATACATTTTAAAAAAAAGTATACATAACTTAGTATTAAATTCAAACTATTAATATGCGAGAAAGAAAATGCATGGACAAAAAATGATTAGGGCGTTGGTATAAAAGCTATCCAGTAGTTCTGTTGCAAGCAGAATACTTATTTCATCCTCATGTCTACATGACGCGATTGAGTTCATCAATTAAATTATCTCTACAATATCATGAATCTCAAACAAGTGGCTTACTCTCCATGAAGTAAGACCACAAAAGGTTAGTCAGCTAATTATTATATATTTTAAAAAAGCCAAGTAATTACAGTCCATCATGAAAGCATATTGATATGATGTTACACTAGTTATGAAACTAGTAAATTATGAAGCAGATAAACATGATGCACGAGCTTAAAAGTAAAAGCTAAAACAAAAGGAATAAAACTACTTCCATGAAAGATTAAGAAGGCTAATATATCATCCAGTGCAAGCTAGCTAAGCTGCTCATTTGGTTTGAAAATCAATGACTATGCAAAAAAAATGGATCAATTTTTAGATCAATCAAGCTCTCCCAAAGTCAATTTGCTGATTAATAAAACAAGCTTGGCTCGAATTGAACATAAATTATGTATACCAATGTTTAAAATTGTGCAAATCAGAAATTGAGGCATTCTTCGTTCAAGAGACGAGGCGTAAACCCAACAGTTTGAAAAATGCGTTAAGTCAAAATAAAAGGGTAAAAAATAAAATATTAGCATCATAATCTATAAATATATTAAAGAAAGACATATTGACATCCTAGCATGATAAAAAATAACAAATTGTGTTTGATTGAAACATCAAAAAGTTGTTTGGAGTGTTTTAAAAAACATGTTAATTTACTTCTTAGAAATAAAATATAAAAATAGAAAAAAACACACTAAACAAATATGTGCTTAAAAACAAAATGAAAACAAAAACAAAAGTGAAATTGATCCCAAACAAGCATTAAGGTTTTCTTCCTAAATTAGTTGAAGTCTCTCTTTGACATTTTATTGTTGGAAGAGGAACTATTAATTTTATTTTTGTTGGACATGAATTGATTCATTCAACTATCAAGCCAAAATAATAATAATAATAATAATCAATCATCTTTAAAGTTTTTTAAAAGGCCTAAGATATATGTAGGTGGGCCTACTTTCATAATACTCTTTTCCTCCCCTCCTAGTTTTGTTCTGGATCATGAATTATATCTTCCATACAACTTCTAATATCATTGCTGATGGAAATCTTAGGAAGCAATTTAGACAGTCTTAGGCAAGGGGATCCCCGCTTTCCTCTTCTTTTTATTATTAAGTTGATGTTCTACATAAAAGATTAAATGTTGCTTTGTTGATCATGTGATTGGGGTTTGATATTTTGAAAATGTGGAACCTCTTATTGATAGTCTGCAATTCACAGATCACACTTCGAAATTTTTGCAATGCTTTCCTAATCAAACAAATGTTCTTAATAATATTTTGATAATATTTGAGGTTCCTACCATGGCTACCCTTCTAAAGCTAACAAAAATTGATTAAAATCAACAGAATCCTAAAGGAGAAGCGCTTTCTTTTCAGTTCTCTAGAGCTTTTCTTAGCTTCTGCTTAGTTGTAACCATTTTGTACCATTCTCATCTCGTTTTTTCACTTCTTCGCAACTGTTTATACAGTCTTACCTTCATGTTAATGAGAAGGATACACCGTGCTTTTAGGAAGAAACTCGTGAACAAATTTGAAATAGAATGACAATATAGATATGACAATACATTTTAAAAAAAAGTAAACATAACTTAGTATTAAATTCAAACTATTAATATGACGAGAAAGAAAATGCATAGACAAAAAATGATTAGGGCGTTGGTATAAAAGCTATCCAGTAGTTCTGTTGCAAGCAGAATACTTATTTCATCCTCATGTCTACATGACGCGATTGAGTTCATCAATTAAATTATCTCTACAATATCATGAATCTCAAACAAGTGGCTTACTCTCCATGAAGTAAGACCACAAAAGGTTAGTCAGCTAATTATTATATATTTTAAAAAAACCAAGTAATTACAGTCCATCATGAAAGCATATTGATATGATGTTACACTAGTTATGAAACTAGTAAATTATGAAGCAGATAAACATGATGCACGAGCTTAAAAGTAAAAGCTAAAACAAAAGGAATAAAACTACTTCCATGAAAGATTAAGAAGGCTAATATATCATCCAGTGCAAGCTAGCTAAGCTGCTCATTTGGTTTGAAAATCAATGACTATGCAAAAAAAATGGATCAATTTTTAGATCAATCAAGCTCTCCCAAAGTCAATTTGCTGATTAATAAAACAAGCTTGGCTCGAATTGAACATAAATTATGTATACCAATGTTTAAAATTGTGCAAATCAGAAATTGAGGCATTCTTCGTTCAAGAGACGAGGCGTAAACCCAACAGTTTGAAAAATGCGTTAAGTCAAAATAAAAGGGTAAAAAATAAAATATTAGCATCATAATCTATAAATATATTAAAGAAAGACATATTGACATCCTAGCATGATAAAAAATAACAAATTGTGTTTCTATGAAATAACAATTAGATAATAAAAATTTTTAATATTAAAATTATTTAAAATAATTTTGTTGCCCATTAAATTTAGGCTTCTTAATAATATATTGAAAATGTGATATTTTTTATTGATATATTTTTATTTTAAAATTTGAGATTTCAAGGCGTAATAGAGCTCAAATATATATAAAAAAAAAA